CAGCCCTGGAGCGAAGTCAGCTCCTGCCTCTTTGCTCAATCCCCAATTACTCTCAGCCCTCACAGATAAGGCATCAGAATGAGAGGATCTGGGTTTGAAAATTGGCCCAGTCACTCGCCAACTCTGGGCAAGTTACTCAACCTCGATTTCCTCCATTGTGAAGTAGGGGAAATGTAGGGTGGTGGTAAGAATGAAATGGGGTGATGCCTGGAGGCTGGCCTGTTGCCAGCACTCGGTAAGCAGGAGCTGTTGTTACAACTGCTGTTGGTTCAGATACATGGGTGGGCCGATGGGCACACGGCTGCACAGGGATTAGCATGGACTTGTCCCTGCAACTCCACCTCCTCTTCCAGGCTTTCTCATTCAGACTTTGCATCATGCGGAGGAGCCAATTCACACTGACAATTCGAATGGACAATTCTAACAACAACAATAACAGACAAAAGCACAGCTAATATGCCAGACTCTATGCTGTTTGCTCATGTGGATTATTTCATTTAATTCTCATAATATTTTATGAACTGATTGCTATCATCATCCCCATTTACAGAGGAGGAAACCAAAGCTGTGAGGGACAATGCAAACAGAAAGTAGCAGGGCCAGGATTTGAAGTCAAATCCTCTGGTTCCAGAGTCCGTCTTTTTTTTTTTTTTTTTTTTTTTATTATTTTATTTTTTTTTTTTTTATCATTATTTTTTTTTTTTTTTTTTTTTTAGAATTATTTAATTTTATTTGTTGCTATCATTATTTTTTAATTTGACCAGAGAGAGAAAAGGAAAGTGAGAGAGTAAGCCACCAGGTCCAGGGCTCAAACCATGATCAGCCATGTGGGAGTCCAGCACCTTAACCACTGCACCACCTGCCGGCCCCCAGAGCCTGCCTTCTTAAGCATAACACTTAGTTTTCAGTGAAGCAAACATTTTTTAAGTATATTACAGAATATGTTAGGAACACAGAAAAAGATGCATTTCAGCTGTATGTACCCAGATGATTCGTGTTCTTCCCAAATTACGTGTCAACCCAGAACCTGTAAATGTAACCTTGTTTGAGAATATGTACTTCACAGATATAACCAAGTCTTGACAGGGTGCATATGTGTGCACAGGAGAATGAAGAGAGAGAGAGAGAGCACTCTTCACGGAGTCTGGTGATGGCGCGATCCCTTTCCTCTAGTCCTCCAGCCCATCGGATCTAGGGCACTCGCATACATGCCCGGTATTTCAGGCTGACCAGGCCAGGGATTCAAACCTCGGTCACCATGTAGGATCTAGCTTCTCTTGAGCAGCACATCACTGATGAATCACAAAGCTGATCCAACCAGGATCTTCATTAGAAGAGCGAGTTTGTACACAGGCGTCCAAGACAGCATTATAGAGCAACTAAGGCAGAGATTGGACTCGACAAGCCAAGGACACCAAATACTACCAGTAGCCTCCAGAAGCCCGGAGAGAAGTGAGGAATGGACTCTCCCTCAGGGCTTCTAGAAAGAACCAACCCACTGGTACCTTACATTCAGACTTCTGGTCTCCTGATCTGCAAAAAGAATAAATTAATATTGTTTGAAGCTACCCAGTTTGCAACAATTTCTCAGGCAGTCCTAGAAAAACAATACACCCCAGTGAAAAGAAGACAATAAGAAAGATTATTTCTCAAGTTTCCCCTTGGCTCTGTTTGGCAATAGGAGTCCATATCTGAAGGCCATGGTTCCCCACTGGCCATGAGTAGGCAGTGGGAGAAGCCAGTGATGAACCAGTTGATGGCCTCACAGGAAACCTGGCCTTCCTGTCAACAGAGCACAGAATGAAAGCTGTCGACCTCAGGGCGCAGGCCCATCCGCCTGGCCACTGTCACAAGGCTCAGATGGTGAGAATACCTTCCTAGAAAAGTCCATCAAACTGTGTTTGCATCTGACCCCGAGACTCCCTTTCTGGATGACAGTGTGCTGATGGGGACAGCCCACGAAACTGCCGAGACTTTGCAAATCTCAGCTTAAATAAAGGGCGTAGTATTTCCCCATAAACGCACTGCACACTAAAGCAGAAGTCCTTGAGCATTTGTAAACACATGTTCTTTTGAGGATCTGGTGAATGCTATATATAGATTACATAGCATTTTCTTCCCCCCATTAAAAAAAAAAAAACACATGCAAAATGTGGGATGATATTTCAGGGTATCTTGAACTCTTTGAGTCCACCTACTAACAAACAGATCTGGGCTGATTGCCCACTATGTGTGAGGCACTGGGCTCTGTGCTAGGAATATAAGGGGAAAGAGTGGTGGGGAGAATAAACAAGGTGCTTTTCTTCCTGAAGTGCAAAGCTAGAAGGGAGGTGTATGAGTTTTCTGTCGCTGCTATAACAACCACAAACTGGATGGCTTAAAACAACATCTCAGAGAACCAAAAGCCTAAAATTAAGAAAGAAGTTGGTAAGGTTGGTTCCTTGTGGAAGCTCTCAGGGACAGTCTGAAACACATCTCTTTCTTGTAGTCCTCAACATGCTTGGCTTGTAGACCCAAGCCCCCATTCTTTTTTTTTTTTAAGAGAACTATTTATTTATTTAATTCCATTTGTTATTATCATTGTCATCATCATCATCATCATTATTATTTAATTTGACCAGATATAGACAGAGAGAGAGAAAAGGAAAGTAAGAAATCAAGCTGCCAGGTCCAGGACTTGAACCACGGTCAGCCCTGTGGAAATTTAGCGCCTTTAACCACCATGTCACCTGCTGGTCCCACATCCCCCCTGTTCTCAGCCTCCACTTTCACATGACTTTCTTCCTTCTGTACGTTCCTCAGTGTCCTTTCCTCTTCTTAGAAGGACACTAGTCGTAAGGTTTAGAACTCACCCTGGGTGACTATGGTATCATCTAGATCCTTAGCTAATTACATTTGCAAAGACCCCGTTACCAAATAAGGTAACATGCTGAGGTTCTGGGTGGAAGTGAATTTTAGGCAGGTACTCTTCAACCCAACCCAATCAGGTGATTCAATTATCACCACGAAAAGCAGCCAGACGATGGCCAACCAAACCAGGAACCATTCCTGAGAATATTGGGTAGAAATGAGAATGAATAATGAGTAGAAACTAATTAAATAAAAACATGGTGAGTTTACCAGGAAGAACTCATCACATAGGGGAAGCCCCCGGGGGAGGCAGCAACAGAAGACAGGGGGACAGTGAAGAATACCAGCGTGTTAGATGTTGTCTAGAGTCAGGATTTTATCACAAGGGCTAACAAATGCCTTTGAAGGACTGGAAGAAGAGGAGTGCTTCTAGAGAGTTCACCTTGGCTGAGAAGAGGGACAGACAGGAGAGGATGAGGCGAGATGCAGGGACCCCTAAGGGTGCGCATTGCAAGGGAAAAGCTCTGAGCTCAAAGATATGAGTGGTAAAACTTGTGGAGATGCCCATGAATTGTCCTAAACAGCCAGCTGGCCAGAGTCCCACCGAGCCTACTGGAAGAACATAAGACTACAGACAGACCCAGGCTAGCCAAGCAGATCCACATAAGCCCAAGAAGAACACCCGAAAAACGAAATGCCCTGACATTCATTCTCCATCTAAATGGAGAAGGGAACTAACATCTGAACAAAAACCTGCAATGGCCATCTTACACACACTTGACCCCAGCAGGTACACACCCTCTCTCATTTAGTGTCCCCCAGAGTGTGACATCGAGTGTGCCTTAAATGTCTGCTCACAGATAAGTTTACGTGCCTCATGCATTTTCAGTTACTTTGCAAAAGCCATCTTCTCCCTGGAACCCCCAGACTGAGTTCCCTCTGTACTCCAAGCACTCCTGATGCAAGTTCATGTACTACTGGGTCATAATTCTCACTTCCCTCTTAATCTGGCTCCTCTGCCAGGAAATGAGTAACTTGAGGGCAAGACTCTTGTTCACCTTTAAATTCCCAGCTTCAAGATATACATACACATAATAAATGTTACTGAGGATACAGCAGATGGCATGATGCTTACTTTGCTGGACTCCCATGTAGTTGACCATGGTTCAAGTACCAGATCCAGCAGATCCAGCAGCTTAATACATGCTGGACACATGTGCATTTGTACCCAAAATCCTGAGAGGAGAATGGAGAAGAAATCATTCCCTCTCAGGGGAGGGGTGATTTCTCATTTTCTGTCTCTCTGTCTCTCTAGGTCTCTCTGGTGAGCACACACACCTATAGCAAAAATATCAAATAAATAAATAAATAAATGTTACTGAATGGATGGATGAATGAATGGAGAGACAGACCAATGGATAGATTCCTTCTGTAATGGTTTAAAACTTAATTAATTAATTAATTAAATTAACATAGCTCCATCCTTTTTTTTTTTCTGTTTATAGATTTTTTTTTGGGGGGGGGAGAGGTTTTTGTTATAGGGCGCGTGCGCTCGCCAGACAGACAGAGAGAAACAAAGAGACAGAAAGCGAGAAATCACCTCCCAGGGGGGATGGTCACACCGCAATCCCTTTTCCTCCATTCTCCTCTTGGGATCTTGGGCACGCACGCACACGCGCCCGGCGTGAGTTTTAAGCCACTGGGTCCGGGACGCAAACCACGGTCGACAACGTGGGAGTCCAGCGACATAGCCATTACGCTAACTCCTGGTTCCCGTTTATAGATTTTTTTTTAAGATTTTTTTTTTCCATAGGTCATGTGTACTTGCCAGAGAGACAGACAGACAGACAGACAGACACAGAGAGAGGGGAAGTGAGAAGTCATCCCCTCAAGGGAGTTGGCCATGCTGCCATTCTTTCTCCTCTGTTCTTTTCTCAGGATTCAGGGAATACACGCACACACACCCAGTGTGATTTTCAAGCCATTAGGTCCAGGACTCAAACTGCATTCAGCCACGTAGGAGTCCAGTGCCTTAACCACCATACCAAAGCCTGGCCCCCTATCCATTGCTCTCGAAGTGTTTTACACTGACCCCAAGTATAAGAGTAAGACATTCAATGAGATGTGGGTTTGGCATCCTTCAGACTCACCTCATTCCTTCCAGAGCCATCCTATCCAGATTGACAGTGTTCTTTGTTTTCGCCCAGTTGGCTCCCAGATCACCCCACCCCATGTCATCGGCCAAAATGATCACGAAATTTGGTTTCTCCTCTCTCGCTTTCCGACTGCTGCAAAAATCCATGAGCGGATAAAGCAATCCTGAGAAACTCACTCCCACCAACAAAACCTTTAGAAAAAGCCAGCCCATGGTGGTTTGAGTGATGGTGCTCCACCAGCACAGACTTTTCCGAGCTTCCTTTCTGCTCACTTTCAATGCAGGAAGTCGCTGAGAGCTGGGGTGGTAGCAGTAATGATGGCTACAAGAATGGTGGAGACTACAGAGATGAGGCTTCCATCTGAAATCCCAATTCGAGAGACTACAAACAAGCAACCCCTAGTTTGGAGCTTCTCTAGTCAAGGTTTCCCTACCATAGCTTAATAATGATGAAATTAATGATGTCCGACAGTCAGCCAATGACGTTCTCTAGCCATTAGACATTGGGAGGTGAGAGCCACAACACTAGCCCTGTATCTGTGTGGGACTCCATCTGGTGACTACAGGACAAATGGCTGCATCTGCAGAACACCTGGATGTTCTTTCTAGAAGCTTCAGACAGCCCTGAACGAGTTTCTGAGTTCCAGATGGTTGAAGGCTTCATGTTTCTGTACGGTTTCCTGAAAGAACAAAAATTGACAAGAAAACAGAGTTAAAACTGCCAGTGCAGCTGTGTTTTACTCAGTAGCTTAGGAAATAATCACTTTTCCATGCCAACAAACAGATGCTTTCCTTCTTATTCAAATATTTAACTGGTTTATCCGCTTCTCCACCTGACAATAGTGATGATGATAATATTTGAAATAGATCTATAGTTACGGAGTTGGAAATAATATAAGAGATGGTCTTTCTCAACCCATTGACTGTATAGATGAGGATATCGAGGCCCAGTATTCTTGACTGGGACTAAGACCAGCCACCTGCCCCTCCTGCCTCTGCTGCTAAAGCTCAGCGTACCCCAGCCCTTCCTCCATACTTCTCTGATTCACAGAAATTCCCAAATAGTACCTTATCAAACCCATTGAGAATCCTAGAAGGGCAGAGTCTTATTACCAAGACACAATTCTTTGTTACAGTCAATGCTATGATAACACTCTATGTAAAATTCTTTTTTTAAGTGTCTTTATTTTTTTCTGTGAAAGAGAGAAACAGGGAACCATCCACAGGGTATTCACACCATGGCCCACCCCCAGGCTTGGTCAGCTTGGCTCACTGGCATACATGGCCTGCCCAGAGTGTTCAGGGAGGTGCTGGTCACGAACCCAGGATCTTCCCCACATGGCCTACTGCATCACCACCTGGCTCTACAGAAAAAAATTTTTAAGAATTATTTTATTTGACTTTATTTATTTATTTATTTTAATTTGACCAGAGAAGGACAAAGTGAGAGAGAGAGGGAAAGTGAGAAAGCAAGCTGGGATTTGAACCTCAGTCTACCATGTGGGAGTCCAGTGCCCTTAACCACCACACCACCTGCTGGCCCCATAAAATTCTTGATAGAAATTAATTCCAGGGGAAAAAAATGTGAAAAAAAAAAAAAACTTCATAATAAAATCTAGGTGGTGGATACATGGGTGCTCACTGTAGACCTTTTTCCATTTTGCTGTGTGTTAGCAACTAAATGTTGGGAAAAAATGTTCCTGCCTCAGCTCCCCCACTGGGACAAGAGGGTCTTGCTATGTTGCTCAAGCCACCTCCTGCCTAAGCCTCCCCAGTGCACATCACCATCCTCAGCATTTTAGGTTGGACCAGGAATCAAACCCAGGCCTCCGATGTGTTCTCAGGTTGCAAGATCATAGCAGCACAGGACACCACTCCCGGGCCTCAAACAGGAAACGTTTTTAAATGGATAAGTGCCCCTTGACATCCTGACCATGTAGTTCTTTTTTTAACTGTCAGAGGGCCACATGGGCCACATGTCCAGGGTGGACAGGGTGGGCAGAGAGGGCAATAAAGAAAGTACCCCCCTACACCCTGTGGGCACAGTCATGTCACAATCCCTTTCCTCCATTTCTCCATCCCATCAGGATTGGAGGCATGCATGTACATGTGCCTGGCATATTTTTCCAAGCCATTGGGGCCGGGGCTTGAAATGCAGTAGGCCATGTGGGCATTTGGCTCTCCACACATGGTGCTTAACCACTGTGCTATGGGGCTAGCTTCTGACCATGTAATTTTTAATAAGAAAATCTCAGGGCCAGCAGTTAGCATAGTGGTTAAGGCACTGGACTACAACATGGTTGACCATGGTTCAAGTCCTGGACACGGCAGCTTGAAACTAATGCCAGGCTGTGCATGTGTGTACCCAAAATCCCAGGAGAATAGAAGAGAAGGGATTGTGGCATGCCCATCCTCCTGGGGTGAGGGTGGGGGGTGATTTCTCACTTTTTCTCTGTCTGTCCTGGCGAGCACACATCCTGTAGTGAAAAACTCTTTGAAAAAGAAAATCTCAGGATATGTTCAACCAGGGGGTTCTCATACTTGGACACAGATGTGAATTAGTGGGAATAGTATGTTTAGTAAAACTCAGATCAGTATATAAGACTAGGGCCCAGGATCTGTATTTCTAAAAAGCTCCCAGGTAAGGCCTATGCTGCTAGTCCTGGGATGATACCCTGAGTAGCTAGGTGCTAAAAAACAAAAACATCATGAGTCTGATCCTAGCAGAGAAAGGAAACTGTTTAACCTAACTGGAGTTGACTCAGCTTCAGTGGACAAACACAAAGTACTGTATCAGGCTGAGTTTGAAAGACAGGAATTTAGGGTTATACCTTACCTGCAGGTTGCAAATGCAACCAAGAATAAAACCATATCACCCCTACTTCATTTTAAAGCCCTACATTTGTGAGTTTAATACAGAGAGACAAATGAAAATTCTGGGCCCAGTAAAAACCTCAGTTGAACACCCAATCCATAGAGGGGATTAAAGAATTGGCTTGTGGCATGGCAGTTAAGGCAGCCAGATCCTACATGCCAGTAGCCCAGGTTTGAGTTCTGGACCTGAACGCCTGAAAAATCACGCCAGGTGTGTGGGTGTGTGTGCGTGCATGTCCAAAATCCTGACTCCTGAAATGAAGAAGGGACTGTGACATGACCATACCCCATGGGAGGTGTTTTCTCACTTTCCCTCTTTCTCCATCTTTCTCCGGTGAGCATGCACACACTCTAGCCAATTTTTAAAGAGAGAGAGAGAAAGACCAATTTGTAATATATAAGATGCTTTGGGGCTGGGATTATGACAGATGCTACTCTGAGTGTGTATCCCTGCCAGCCAACTCAGTGGTCAACCCAAGTGGACAGGAGTAGTTGGAGGTATGTAAATTTGGAAGACCTAGATAAAAAGCTTAAAAATGGGCAGATTCATACTTAATCAAAATAAAAGGAAGTCCAAGTAAACAGTCATGGTCATCTGGAGGCCAATGAATCAATTGTTCAGAAATGCAAATTCTTCCATTTTCCAAAAAGAGAGTTATTATTTCAAACTCAATTAGATTCAACTGGTATTTGTTGATCTTGAGGCCCCAAAGACTTCTCCCTTTCTACAAGAAAGAGCCCTTGCAGAAGGAGGGAGTGTAACACTTATTGGACTGCTGGTTGGTTTCCAGTCTCATTCTACTGGCTCCTGACCACAACCAACAGTCATAGGAGGCTTTTCTTCTTAAAGCTAATTAGCTTGGAAGACTAGAGTAGCCCCATTCCTGGTCAATAATCCACTTCAGAATGACCCAACATATAAGACTCAAGGGGAAAAAAATTTAACTAAGAAGCTAAAATTAAGATGGAGACATAAACAGATTGTTTTTCTTTAGTGTTGCATGATAAAACATTCCTTTGAGGATTTTCAAAGAGAATCATTAATACTTAACATTTTCATAGAATGGAAATAAGCTAAGTTAGCCAGTACACCCTTGCATTATCCTTCACACCCACACCTCCAGGGAGACATTTAATCCTTTCCTTTTTTTTTTTTTACTAAAGGGAAAAGGCAAAATAGACATTCTAAGAATGTCAAAAGCCATAGCCTTCAATTAAGATCCTAGCTGAGACTTTGGGCTTAGGTACCCCTAAAGAAACAGGCTTCCCTTGCTGTTCTCAGACCTTACTTGATGTTACTTTCCTTTATGCATCATGCTCAGAAAGAGCAGAAGCCAGGCCCAGAAAACAGTGGTTAAGCCCTGTGCAAAGGAATCTGGATTCCACATGGCCAACTAGGGTTCAAATACTGGTCCTAGTGACAACATGCAGGCACCAAGGATCCTGACAGGATGGAGAATTGAAGAAAGGATTGCAGCATGACCAGGCTCTGATAGGTGCTCTCTCTCTCAGTCTTGCTCTTTCTTGTGTGTGTCCACATGGGCTCTGTCATGGAAGAAGGAAGGAAGGCAGGAGAAAAAGAGGAAGAGAAGAAGGAAGAAAGAGAAAGAGAGAGGGAGGGAGGGAGGGAGGAAGAAAAGGAAAGTAGACACCAGCAAAGGGCTCTCTTCCTAGCTAAGGAAGAAAGAGGGGGGTCATTGTCAAATAAACTCATCCCTCCTTCCACTGGGACAAAGGGTACTCAACCATCTTACTCAATAAACCCCACAGTGAAGACCATCTGTTTCAAAAGGAGTGTAACTGACTGAGAGATCCTTGCTGAGGACAAGTATAACCAACTTCCATGCCTCGGTGCTCTCCAGGCAGGAGTAGAGTGAACTTTAGTTGCCCATCAGCTCTGTCAATGATTTCTGTTCTTTTCTGCCACCTCCATTTTAAAGCAGGGCTGCTAGATATGCTGAATTTGACCTTCCTTCAATTTCCAGGCTTGCTTAAGAGTAAAAGCATTCATGAGTAGCAAAATGACCAACAGGCAGGCTGTAAGCCAGAGGGGCTGAGAAACGAATGGGAAACGGAGCCCTGAAGATCCCCTGAGCAGTATCTGAATAATCCAGTGCTGTAAGTCCTTGGCCTTCCTGAGCCACTCACTCCATCACCTGACCCTGGCTCCCCATGGGCCCCCTGTGGCCAAGCATCCTCCTAGAGAACTTTGAAAACAGCTGAAATAACAAAAAGGTTGGGTAGACCTTTCTGGCAGAGGGCTGTGTTGGTTTTCCAGAGACAAAAGCTTCTGATGAGCTCAGGCCAAAAAAGACAAAGGAGCAGGGGAGATTAAGTCTCTGGTTGCAGAGTACTGTTGTTTTACCTGCCAAATCAGAACACAGTCTGTGTGCTGCTGGGAGCCAAGAGTCACATGTGGTACCGTCAGGAGGTGCCTCAGACATCAGTTGCCCATGTGTAGTCTGAAATTATCCTCCTGCATCCAGTTGTTTGTTCATCAAATATATACCGAGTAACACAATATAGGCAACTATGCATCCAGGTGTCAATGATGCAGACACAAATCCCTGTTCTCACACCACTTTTTGTGGGAACTGGTGGGGAAAAGGTGACTTAAATACTTGAAATGTAGGTAGCATGAAGAAAATCAAAGAGTGAAGGGGCTCAGGCATGTGGAGGGCAGGTACAAAGTTAAAGATAGTAGTCAGGGATAGTTAAAGAAAATAGTCAGGGACGATCTCATCAAGCAAGTGGTGTGTTTGGATAAGGATCTGGAGGAGGTAAGGAATCAGGAAGCCATATAGGAAAAAAATGTCAAGAAGAGAAACCAGCAAGCACCAACAGTTGGCGTGATGGTTACATCTCTGGACTTCCACATAGTTGACTGCAGTTTGAGTCCCAGACTTGCTGGCTTAAAACTCACGCCGGGTGCATGTGCATGCATGTCCAAAATCTTGAGAGGAGAATGGAGGAGAAGGGATTGTGATGTGGTTATCCCCACTGGGGTGGTGATTTCTTGCTTTCTGTCTCTCTCTAGCAAGTGCACGTGCCTATAGCAAAAATAAATAAAATAAATAAATAAATAATCTCTCTCTAAAAAAAAAAAAAATTAAAGAAGAGAAACTAGAAGAAGCCAAGGTCTGGCATGTGTGAGTGTGAGGAGATACAAAGAAGCCACAGATGGAGTAGTCAAGGAGTGGAGTGAGCAAAGCAAGACCTAGAGTCAAAGAGGAATGGGAGCTTTTGCGGAGTGAGCTAGGAAGTCACAGAAGGGTCTGAGCAAGGTCTGTTATACACTGTAAGAGAATCCTCTAGCAGCCCTGGTGAAGAAACAGTGCTAGACAAAGCAAACCAAGTGAGTAGGGAACAACATTTAAAGAGGCCACACTCCTCAGGTGACCACCCTGCGTGGTCATGGCCCAGCTTGTGGGTGCCTCCTTAAATTTTGTTTCATCTTAGTCCAGGCTCAGGCAGAGAGGTAAAAACAGTTTGGGTGGTAGCTAGGATAGAGGGTCATTCAATATTATGTAATAAACATCCCTGTGCCCTCTTCCCTTGTCCTTAGATTCTCAACAGGTAGATTTGAGGCTGGCCCAACTGGGAAAGACTGCTTTCCAAGAACGCTTTTGGGGGTTGGGAGTGCCAGACTTAGCTCAACAGCAGATGCAAAGACATCTTTGATTGAATGCCTCCATCCAGGCCAAGAGTGCAATTCCACTTAGATAATTAAAATGGGGACCAGCAGATGGCGTAATAGCTACGTCGTTGGACTCCCATGTAGTCAACTGTGGTTCAAATCTCAGACCCGGTGGCTTAAACTCATGCCAGGCGTGTGTGTGTGCATGCCCAAGATCCCAAGAGGAAAATGGAGGAGAAGAGATTGCAATGTTGCCATCTCCCCTGGGGGGTGATTTCTCACTTTCTGTCTCTCTATCTCTCTCTGTCTTTCTGGCGAGCACATGCACCCTATAGCAAAAGCTCTCCAAAAAAAAAAGAGAGAGAGAGATAATTAAAATGATTTTTTTTTTTTTTTTTAAGTTTGGAGATCTCAAGCCAGACTCTGCTGTTGGGAATATCACTTCTGTGAACTCAAAGATGCCAGGAAACTGGTCCACAGGGGGCATGTGAAGTCCTGCCTAGCTTAAGGTTGGAACCACCTGATGAGTCTGTCATCAAAGAAAATCATGTGGTAGAAGCCAATTTGGGAAAGCCAAGGCGGCCTCATGCCATGCACCTAAAAACTCAGGACTTATTCGCTGTTAAACATCTCATTATGGAAGCTGTCTGATCATACAGAAGCTGAGATAATCATGCATTATCTACTCAACATCTAGAGTCAATAATTATTAACAATGACCGGTCTGGTGTCTTCCCTCCAACTTCCCCTTACCTCCTTGCTCATATACCTAGGTTCCCCACCCTCTCTTCTTCTCTGCAATTTATTTGTAAATAAATTGAATTGCTCATACAATGAAATGTCCCTAGTTTGGGATTTATTTTATTGCATTCCCCATGATGTCATTTAGACTGTTCCCTGGGCCCCTGTAAACTGATTTGTAGACCTAAAGGTAAGACTGGATTTAGGTTCAACTGTTCTGGTAAAATCACCTCTTACATCTTATTTTTCTCCTTTTCATGTTGACCTTCATCAGTGGCTCACGTGTCAAAGCTTCCTTTTTTTTCTTTGTCATTTTTGTATGAGAATAAGAAACTTCCTCTTAAATGTTACATACTGTCTTTTTTATTTTTGTGGATTTATCATTGTCCCAGGTCTGTCCCAACTCAACAATGAAACATGTTATGGGACCACCAGTTAGTGTAATGGCTATGTCGTTGGACTCCCACATAGTCGACCGCAGTTCAAGTCCCGGACCTGGTGGCTTAAACTCACGCCAGGCACCTGTACGTGTGCGCCCAAGATCCCGAGAGGAGAATGGAGGAGAAGGGATTGTGGCGTGGCCATCCCCCCGGGGGGTGATTTCTCGCTTTTTTCTCTCTGTCTCTCTCTGTCTGTCTGGCGAACACACGTGCCCTATAGCAAAAAACCTCTCCAAAAAAAAAAAGAAAAACAATGAAATGTGTTAGATTCCGTTACGGACTGTACGTGTACCCCCCAAACTTTTATGTTGAAGCCCTCGCTCCCAATGTGATGGTACTTAGAGATGTCCTTTGGAAAGCTGGATAAGATCATGAGGGTGGGTCCCTCATGATCCAATTAGTGCCCTTATAAAGAGTCAAGAAAATGCTTCTCTCTCTCCACCATGTGGAGTGTAGCCAGATGGTAGCTCTCTACAGACTAAGACAATATTCCTTACCAGGAACCAAAAAGCTGCCTCTGCCTCCAGAACTGTGAGAAATAAGTTTCTGCTGGTTAAGCCACCCAGTCTATGGTCTTTTTTTTGGAGAGGTTTTTGCTATAGGTCACGTGCACTCGCCAGAGAGACAGAGACAGAAAGCGAGAAATCACCCCCCAGGGGGGATGGCCACACCACAATCCCTTCTCCTCCAGTCTCCTCTTGGGATCCTGGGCACGCATGCATGCACACGCGCCTAATGTGAGTTTAAGTCACGGGGTCTGGGACTCAACCATGGTCGACTACATGGGAGTCCAGCGACATAGCCATTATGCTGACTGCTGGTCCCTGGTCTTTACCATGACATCCCGACCACACTTAGACAGGTTTCCACTAAAGATATAATGGACAACCTACGAGGCTGAGATGCAGTAGGGGCAGAAGCAAGGATAAGAGCAGACTTGAAGAGAAGATACTCTATTCAATAAAGCAGTTACTTAACAAATATGCCTTTGGGGCAATTGATTGGGGGGGATGTGTTGGCCTGTTTCCAGGAGCTATGTCCATCATTTGTTAGTTGTGTGGCCTTGGGAAAGTCATTGAATCTCTTTGAGCCTCATTTCCTCAATTACCTGAAAAACAGCCACGTGAACCACCAAAAACGTCTTCAGTCCTAAAGACAACGGGGAATGAAATAGTCCAACAGGCGTTCTCAGGAAGCACTCAGAAATGTTGACTGTTGTTCTATCTCCCAGTTGTCTGGGGGATCAAGAGATAAATGTGAAGAACAATGTGAGAAAGTGCCGTGCAGGCCCAGAGTGTTACTAAAGTTAATATTGAACAAAACTATTCTGAGTGAAGATGGCAATATCCGGAATCTCGGTAGCTATTGGCTGAGTCTTGACCAACATGCTCAGCTGTGTGGGCTCTGAACCCAGAGAAGGTAGAAGTTGCAAACACCGCAGTCACAGAAAATGCCAAAGGGAAAGTGAGTCATTCGGGTGTGCATTTCCAAAGTTCCGACTATGGTTCCTTGTTACACAATCCCACGGTTGTCTGTGTCATCTTGCCTAAACCTGAGCCAGGTCCCTTTGGCTGGGTAGATTCTAGGGACAGCTGTAATCCTTGGAATATGCTTCCCTCTAGAAAATCTGTTTGAACAATATAATAATACAAAGGTCAAGGTGTAGGCTAGGAGTGAGATGAATCGTCCCCCTGCTGATGACAACTGAAAGGCGGGGCTGGACAGTGGCACGGCAGTAACACTTCACTGTGAGAAAGTCCCTCAAGGGAAAGCTTCCTGGTTCACATCTAAAGAGCGCTCTGAGCACGCTGGGCATGCACTTGCCCATGATCTGGGTCTGCCTGGAGCCTGGGGGTGGATCACAGCATTGAGACCCTACTGGGAGTATTGTTTCTCTGCCCTTTTTCTCTGTCTCTTTCACTAATGAAGAAAGTAAATGAATGGACTTTAAAGAAGAAACACACACAGAAATTACATCTCCTAATCAGAAACACCCAAAAGAACAAATTGTCCAGGACGCTTAGTTAGGCGCTCTAGTGAGAAAGACCCATAACTCCAGGGTGTACACTTCCTCAGGCAAGGTCAGCGGTATGTTTTATCCACTGCATGGTTCCAATACCTTGCCTGGAGGGTGTTCAATATTTGCTGAATGAATGCATCTAAAATGAGCAACGATGGCACAGTCTGCTCTGCACCACCGTGAAGTTCAGCTTCACCTCCTTTTCCTAACCTTGGATCATCTGTCCAAGCTCTCCTCACTCGGAAGCACCCTCTTGCAAAGTCTTATTTGTAAAACTGAACTAGTTGAAATGCTGCACTAGGTAAAGATCACCGATGTGTCCTGCCTTCTGAACTAGACAGCAAACACTTTAAAAGAAGGGGCTACATCCTCTATAGTGTGGTTCTGTGGCCTGGGAGACCACAGGTGGGCTGTGGTCATGCAGAGGCTGTTAGGGTGGATGAACGAGGGACACTCCATAGACCCAACCCCATTGTGTATTCCTAACAAGCTCATCTAAGGTGCCCAGACCTCTGGGCGGGGCCCTTCTTTGCCTCTCATCTACAACACCACTCTGGCTTGTCCTTCCAGTGTCTCTGCGTGGAAATACATGGGTGCACTGGTCCTAAAGGGTTAAAATGGAAGTGTACCACTGCATATTGTTCTGGGAACCCAAAGAGCAGAACTGCAGGCAGTGCATGTTCAGACAGGAGGGGAAAGCCAGTAGCACCCTTGAGGCATTCTAGAAGCACAGCAAAAGAACAGGTTTTTATTCCTTGGGCCTTGAGAGATTTGGTGGGTGGAGTCACTTTGACAGCTGTCCAAAGAGAGAGCTTGATTTCATTGGGACTAAACCCAGTGGTCCCTAACACGGCACTTTCCCACCTTTCTATTCGATTTCATGACTCAGAACCACATCATAAAGCTTAACATGATGTGTATTTATTCCTAAGTGCGATGTGATGAAAATGCATTTGTTCTGAAAGTTCTGTAAGTTTCAGTGTTTAGGATTTTGCAACAGGTTTGAGATGCTTTAAAGAAGCTTCCCCAAGGCCATACTTTCTTTTTCTTTTTTAAGCAATGAGAGAATGAAGGAGTAGTAAGCTGTGAAGACTAGGAAATCTGGGAACAGAATTCAGTGTCAAAATAGAATAAAAGTCCCTCCGGAGTTCATGAGACACACCCTGTGAGACATCATCGATCCTGCACCAAACAGTAACCAAGCGTGACAAAAGCAGATCACTGCAGGCCCCCTGCAGCCATGGGGCAGGGAGGTGACCTCACAGTCATGCCCTCACCTTCCTACTGGCCTCCTCTGGTGCTGTTCACCCCTCCCTTAGCTCAACACCCTTGCCAGTCCTTGCAAGGTCCTCCCTGCCTGCGCTACCCTCCCTGATCTGCAACCGCCCTCAGCCCCTGAGGGGGGTCACAGGTTGAAAAGTCATAACTAAGAGTGCCAAGTCTCATCTAGAGCTGAGCATAGCCCTCAGACCCTTGCTCATTTAATTTAACAACGTAGGACTGAATCCCACACACCACCGTGCTATGAAGTAAGTATTGTTACCACTAAGTTGACGTATTTCTTCTAGGAGGAAGAAAGGAAGAGAGACATCCGGATGGGATCTTCAAGCAGCAGTTTATCCCATCTTAGCTTGCCTGGATCACAGGCATGAGCACCCAGCGTGGTCAGGAAGATCCTGGGATGCAAATCCCCAGCCTGTCCCACGTGGGACCAGTTGCCTCACTGCCTGGCCCAAGTGCTATCACTGTCTATGCCTCAGAGCCCCTTAGTAGATTTGCACATTCCCTCAAGAGCATGCATCTCCCCTCCTCCCCATTTGAGGGGCCCTGCCTTCCCATGGATGATAGGTCCCAAACCACAAGATAAACCTGGCTTGTCTACCTGGGTGATCAGTTCCCTGAAAAGGTTCCTGATGGCAGTTTCTGAGGTTCTCTGCCTACTGGGAAAGCAATGATTCAAGTTCTAAAGCAAGAACTTACATCTATAGGATACAAGTTGCTCACTCAGGCACAGACCCCAAGAGGGGAGCCCAGGCAAATGCTACAGAGACAGAGGGAGAGTAGAAGGGTGAGCAATGGAGAGCTTTTGTAGAAGTTCCCTACTTACTCCCCATTTTGGGCGGCTGCCCTGAAGACCCAGAGCCTTGCAGCACCCTCATCTCTGAGCTCCAGAGGAGCCTCCTTTCAGTCTACATACCCAAGCTGATGTTCTCACAGGCTGGTAAATGTAGCGAGCTTATTTGCAAGCCAGGGTCATATCTGCCTAGCAACCCAACACGAAGACTTGAAGGCCTATGAACGTGGACACAGAACAGTCAGGCCAACTCTGCACAAAAGAATCTATTCTCATGCAAATGCCCCCAAGCAAGAGGGCTAGAAAAGAGAGGCTGTGGGGACAGCTCCGAGGAGCCAATTTTTTTCCCCAAGAAGATGTTGAGGGACTTTTTCGGGGCATCCTTACAACCTCGCCCACTGTTAACGAAAGGCTGGAGGGGGCTCTGCCTGCAGCTTGGGTTCTGACAGGCACAACGGAAGAGATTGAGACTGCTGAGCCCTTCACTTACTTTCTGATTTTTCTGGTCCCTCACTCTAGATTCCAAAGGTTCTTTTGTTCTTGTTGAGAAGTAAACAGAGTTAGTTTTGTTTGGGGGGTTTGATTAGCATGGTAATGCAGAGCTTTCCCCAAAGAAGTGGAAAAAAGGCAGGGATTTTCACTAGGATTGAGAGAACAAGGTGAAACCAGCCTCTAACCAGGGTGAGCAAACATCATCAGTGGGGCCAGTAAGGCTGAGCTAAGGCTGGATTTAAATGCAGATAGCAAATGGCATCTTCAGGTTGAGTGCTTGTCGCAGAAAAGATGAGGGTATACCTATCAATGTGGGGGATTCTTGAGCAAGTCCTTTCAGAGCCCTGTGCCTCAACTTTCCCCATCTGTGAAATGGGGACAATGAGTGTCTATTGTAGAAGTTTACTGATGGGATTAAAATCAGATCATGGGAGGGTAGACAGCAGATGGCATGATGGTTATAGTGTTGGATTCCCACGTAGCCGACCACGGTTTGAGTCTCAGACCTGGCACCTTGCTTTCTCACTTTCCCTCTCTCTCTCTTTCTCTCTCTCTCTCTCTGGTGAGCACATGTGTCCTAAAACAAATTTTTAAATAATAATAAATGAGATTAAATCATTCTAAAAAAAATCCCAGATTACATGTATGGCTCATGCTATAGTGTTGAGAACAAAGCAAACAGAAAAATACGAACATTACAAGCAATGTTAATAAAAAGTCAGAGTAATAATACATCGGCAGTAATAATGCACTGTTACTTCAATTATTATTAAAATGATTCCCTCAACTGCCAGGTTTCCATTGGTCAAATAGACCTGTGCAATTTTCCCAACCCTTCACTGACCCCTTAGGGCTCTAAGCATTATTTGCCTAATTTTTCTAATGGAGAGGCTGAAGTACAGAGAGTTTATGGCATGTAGCTTGCTAGCCCCCACTTAATGACGACAGGCTGCACCCTTGGTTCCTAAGCAGGACAATACAGTACATGCTGTGTCATATCAAACATGGTATTTCCACACAGAGCACAGTGACAGGTCCTGAAGGGTAAATAGCACTAAGTACTTTCACTGTAGTGATTAAAATCAGTTTAAATACATGTGGATTCTGAAGAGCTACTCAAAAAAAGATCTCTCCCGCTAGCTGGGTGGTTAGAGCGGCTGGATCCCATGTGTCTCACAGTGCCCTCTGAGTCCCGACCCAGCAGCTTGAGAAACACGCCAGGTGTGCGTGGGTGTGTGCCCAAAATCAGAAAGGAAGAGAAAGGAGATGGGATTGCAGGACGGCCATCCTCCATGGGGGGATGGGAGGAATGTTTCTTTTCTCT